GTCAGACTAGAAGATCTGGGGGTGCCTTCTACAGGAAAAATGCGAAGGGTAGAGTACAAACAAAGAAGAGTACAACAGGAATGTGAAATCCACTCTTGTAACTAAGTAAAGAATTACAACTCTATCCTTTAATTAAAATTACTGGAAACCACGGGGGTCATTATTTAGCAAAATCTTGAAGAAATTAAATACAGCCTATGCTCATCAAAAAACACCACAAATTTTAAAAAGATCTCAAAAATTTAAGAGAGTTATAAAACCTGACTCCAACATTTGTTAATTTTCTATTTCACTGCTGATAAGCTGCAAGACCTCCTTGGACAAAAGCTGTTCTTCTGAAGCTGAAGTTGTCTTTAAGCAACCTCAAGCATTCAAAGCCAATATATCTGCAACAGAGTGAGCAACAACACTAAAACTCATTTTTCTTCACAAAGGGTAGAATTTTTTGCAAGTCTGTGTGTGAAAGAAGGAACTTCAGATAACTATACAACTAAGCAAATTTTGAATGCGCAACATAATTCCACAAGGTTTCAAAAAAAGTGCTATGACTTTCAGTATTGTTGCAATACACAAAATACCGTCAAGTTTGGTGTATTTGAGAGACTGACGGAAAGGTTTTCCCTAAAACTGACAAACTGAAAAATCTGTAGCTTCGATTTCTCATTCTTCTATTCTACTTTACCAACTTGAATCTCCATTTCTTCATAGGGCTCTACATTAATATTTGTTGTGGTGCAGCTCGCATATGCAGCAGTATTAACATCTTAACCTCTCTAAGGAAACTCTATTCTATAATTTAGGCCACACAACTTTGTGACCATAAACGTCACTTACTAATTAAAACCTAAGTATTTTAAGCACTTCAATAGATACATGTCCCCAGAAGAGGAAACATTAGTAATTGATATTTACATGCCGCTAGCTCAGAGACTACACAAAGTCACATTACCAAAACCAAAAACAAATATAGAACAAATGCAATGCAGGGGAAGAGGGGGAGGGGGGTAGTGTGGCTGAAGGACTACCTGAGCAGCCTTGAAAGAAATGCATTCTGTTAGGAGAAAAGGTACCCAAACATCTTAAAACATGTTCCCTCCCCCTAAGACTCTTAAAAACACAACAATAATAAAAAGATAAATATTAATATAGAGCCCATCTACCAAAAGAGAATAAAAAACCTAAATTAAAATAAATTTAGGGGCCTTCACCAAACTTGCTGCAAGTTTGGGGACATAAATATCCAACAGCCATAAAGCTGTGAAAGCCCCCAGAATGAATAAAATAAATCCCACTTGCCTCAGACTGAACAGGGCAACACTGAGACTCTGCCTCAGCCTGTCCTATGGCAGGGCTATAGGAAGAAGAAAAATTTAAATTTTAGAAAAAACATGACCCAATTAAGTGAAAGACATGCATTCAAAGTTAACAAAATTCCAGTGATCAAGCAAACAAAAGAAAATTACTGCTATTGCACCTATTTTATTAGGCCCAAACAAAACTTTTTACAGTTAGTAGCTATTTCTGAATTGGACAGTTTGTTTTGCTTTGTATCTTGATCAATGGAATATAATTCAGTTGTCTTGGGGCATTTTTCCCGTAACTGATAGTATTTACTGTGCTAGTTCACAAAAAGTAGAGTTAAAGATTCCATCAGCCACTGAAAATGTTCACCCTCACCTTAATATTTATGTAGAAGCTAGACCAGTACAATTATTAAGACATTTAGTATTATTTTTAAGTGTCATTAGTTACCATTTTAAATTGCAGCCCCAGCTCATGGACTGGTATATCAGAGTCTCAATTTAACTGAAGAGTCATAATGCCCTTCTTGCCGTTTACAAAACTGAAGTAATCGCGATATTTTATTTTTTATCTTGTATGCAGAATTCTTTGATTCCTATAAAACAACTGCAGGTTATATATTTCATTCAATTTTATCTTAAGTTTTAAGTAAGTTATACAGTTCTATGTAAGTACTGTTCAAGAGCTCCATACGCTAAAATAATTGCAGAAACCATAGAAGGCAGATGCAGCTGAATGTGTTTCTAGAAGCTTGTTTATATTCTCCCATGCATGCACAGAGCGAGGAATAGTCATCCACTGAAATTATTAGATATACATCCCAGCCTCAAATTTATTATCAGCACCTAAAAATCTCATCTGTGGAAGGAAAAAAAAAAAAAAATCCAAAAGTTCCAGAAGAAGAAATTTTTAGTCCACGTAAGCCAGCTAAATTTTCAAGACTTTATTTAAAGCAACCTTTGCCAAAGGCAGAAAGATATTCTAAAGGCAGTATAAAACAGTCATACCAAGACTTCTGAAAAACTAGCCTGGGCTTTTCCAAAAAGTTCTTTCATGCCAGTCTCACCCCTTTTGCTCTAAACAGCAGCAGATATGAGATCAGCCTCTCATAATGACATTGAGAGACCATGCATAAAATAATTCAGAACCTTTTAAACAAGTCCTAGATGCCGTAAATTCTAAGTATTTCGCTAAACATATTTTTCCACCTGTGTCTGAACATTTTCTTGCAGCCTGTTTTTTTGTATTCAACATTTGCATTACACTGCAATTTGAAGACTGACCAAAATCCACTTGCAAGTTTTAATTCTACTCTAAGATCTGCCATGGCAAATTTAGGCAATAACTGAAAAATAAAGCTTCTGCCTGTGCAATTGTATCACTAGAATGCTGCAACAGATATAAAAAAAGATATGCTTTTCTGTAATCATAAAAGCTTCTGCAGGCTCTTTCAAGGGAGAGATTAACTAAAGCAAAAAACTGTCTGCATGGCTGTGTTACATTAGGGATTTTGCTGGCACAACTATATTGATTAAACTTTGTACTATAAACCAAGCCTTAGTCTTTATACAAGCAATTATTACATTCAAAGTAGTTTTCCTCTTTTTGGGAAAATGCACCATAAATCCAATTCTCTGAACATTAAGAAGCAGTATCCAAAGAAATGAAGGCAGGGACCAACAGACAACATATTCACTGAAATATCCGCCTGTTTACAGAAGAGTACACACAAGAGACAAAAGAGTAACTAAAGATAGCCACATCACAGCTCTTATAGCACAGGAATGACAGGAGCAGGAAAGTAAGTATCTGTGTGAAAAATCATGGAAAAATTGTTCACCTGCTTGCTGAAGATTATTAGAGTACCATATGAATAATACGTGGCAGTACTTAGTTGAGGGATTATCATAACATTACTACTAAGGAAAGCTCAATCTTAAAATGCGTCCAACCTACAAGTCTATGTAGTATTAGCTACAAAATGGTACTATTATCGGAACAATGAGACATTCTCTATTTAAAAGAGGGAAACTTAGTTAAAACAACTTGCAAAATATGCCGAGTTAACAGTACATGCAGTAAGGTTTTCAAGCATTTATCCCAGGAAAAGCAGGGGTCTGAAAACAACATACCAATGAGTTACAGAAAGACACCAAAGGGAGAAGGTATTTACTTTACTAGGGGCAGGAGGGCAAAGCATCCTTACAGCAGCAATATGATCTTCAGAAAAAGCAAGAAGTTCTATAGTTTTAAAAGCACAAGTTAAGTTGAATTTATAATGTATGAATTTTATGTGTAGTATTACAAAAAAAGATGAATGTAAGACACTAAAAATCTCTCCAGTGTTTTGTAATTATCCTTATTAGATAAAGAAAAACAGAAGAAAATCAGAGTATAAAAGCATTGCCTAAGCAAAACAGTTTTATCTGTTAGACTTATGTATAAAGCAAGATGAAGAGCTACAAAAGATCTGACATCAAGGCCCACTCAGCACATTTGCAAGCCAAATACCGCACATCTGACAGGTGATCAGCAGATACCAGTGATCAGAGAGAACTGCTTCTCAACAGAGGCTTGGAGTTATGGTCTTAAAACTGCCAAACACTTCAGAAAAAGTGCCTGATAATTCTTAATGGTTAAACTAAGGCCATTCAGCTGTAATTAGAGTGTACTGGATGCTCTAGTGCTTTTATGAGCCATTCCATGACCCCAAGTTTGAAGCTGAGAGACAATGTAGTATTTTAGCTGTACTGTATTTCTGGATTATTAAGAGACAGTACAGAATAAAGCCACATGAAGTACTTAAGTGCAGCTAAAAAACCCCAAGACTTTCAAGAAAAAGAGCCACAATGCTCAGTACTACAATTAAGTGAAAAAACCTCCACCATCAACATGGAACTATGGAACATAAACTGACACAAAAATGCTGATAATCTTTCTATTCTACCCTAAAAGAGGAGATATCCCCGTAAGTTAAATTGCACAGATAAGGCTTGAGGCTGGAACATGTATTTAAAGTTGACCTGCAAATGAAAAATTCACCACTCCTATTTTCGCCTGTTGTGAAGAGACCAGGGAAGCTCTCACTTCCCTTCCCTCCCAAAAAGTCTCCCTCTACATTTTAATTCTCATCAGAAATACAGCACACTAACACAGTGATGTTAAGACATTCAGAGAATTACAACCTTGACAGTAATTTATCACTTCACTCTTATAAACAGATAAAAGACTAATTCATATGGGGGAGACCTCTCTTTGATAACTGTAATTAGGAGAACTGATAAAAAAGTCTCTTATTCTAGACACTTCCATTAAATGGGTCAAGAAACTCAGCCAACATCTGATCATAGCACACAACGGATGGTTCATCTTCTAGACTCTGTTGAGATCTGAAATTCTAAACATTTGAAGTAAAAATACAGCATATAACATATTACTTTTGCCCACCCTGTCTCTTTTATACACTAAAAAGGTCAAGCTACTTTTTCTCTTTTGCAGGTCAACTTCAATACAACATCAACTGGAAGTCACTCACCCATGTGACATGCACCTAAGCTTCTAGAAATCTTCATCTAAAAGGCTCCTGAAATTCATATGCATTTGCACATTAAAAAGAGTCAGTCGAAGAATGAACTAACAGGACACATCTGGCACTAGGATGCATCTTAAAGCGATCACTTTTACATCCTACAAGTAAGTGCCAGGACTAGAAATCATTTAAAATTTATTGAGGACAAGAAAGCACAAATAAACATATGCATTAAGAGAAGTCACAACCGAGAGTTAAGATGTGCCTCCTGCAGCCTCATTTTTGAGGAGTCAAGTTAATAAGTGTACAGGTCTTTGTCTACTAAAGACGTGCAGCTAAGGAGTGACTTAATTTTAGAACAAGGAATTCAGATTTTATCGAAACAGCACCAATAATTGCATTCATTACACCAACAGCTACCATGGCATGCATCTGTACAAACCTTTCAGGCAGTTGTCCACAGCTGGTCATGAATAAAAAGGCATATAAATTTTTCTCTTCTTTTATTACAATGAAGTTTATAACAGTACAGAAAAGTCACACGACCTTAGTGGGTCAGTTTACTTAAACCCTGAAACAGGAGGAACTCTAAATACATTAAATATTGTTACAAGTTCAGACTTAAATGTACAAGTAGTTGGGAACAGTTACAGCCCTCACCAAACTATGTTGGGGACATGAAGTCCAACAGCACTTGAAGTGCTGTGAAGGCATCTTTTCACAAATAGCAACATAATGTTACAGAACTTGCCTTTAAGGTGGTATGTTCATGTAATTCCAGCGCCTTCACAATTTAACGAACCATATTTACTATACTTCACTTCTAAAAACCTAGATGAAACATGAAAAAGAAGCCATACAGTATAAATTGCAACATCAGGAAAAGTTCCTGTTATTATTCCAAATAATTTCTCCCGTGTAAAATAAGAATGTCCAATAGCTCCTTGCATGTGGGAAGATACTTATTTTTTTAAAGTCACAATGAAGCCTTAATTGACGGAAGCTTGGCTATATTAACAGCACAAGATGAGAAAAGGTTTAATCTCCAAACCTATTAGAGCGTGTGTAGTAGCATCAGTAGCGGCCACCTTGCGACATTACAGGAGGTCTCATTCCCATTGGAGGTCGAGGAGGTCCACTTTGGTAAGGGGGCACCATCGGAGGTCCCTGACCGTATGGAGGCATCGCTCCAGGAAGATATCCTGGCATGCCCTGGTGATGAGCACCATACTGACCTATAAACAGAACAGTTAAGATGCAAAGAGTAATTTTTTTTTTTTTTAAATAATGGGCAGAAGTTGCATTTTGTGAAAAGTTTCACCCCCCCGCGCCAGTATATGCCACTTCAAGTTTTAAAAAAGTTTATAGGAAAGACAAATCTTTTCAAAAAAAGAAAGCTGGGAAACTTATGATTACCATGAGGTGGCATGGGAGGTCTCATTCCCTGTTGTTGTGGAGGAATTCCTGGCTGTGGTGGCATCATACCTCCGATTGGTCCAACTGGTGGATTACCCAAGGAAGCTTGTCCTGGCCGAGGAAGATTACGCTGATATTTAGGCAACTGTGCCCTTCTCTCTTCCTAAAACCAGGAACAGACAACCATAACACATTGTAAGGCTAAAACTCACAAAAAGCAAAGTAAATAAAAGTGTAACAAAGTAGATTACAGTTACTAACCTATTTCAACTACCTTACAAGTTCAAAGACTGCTACTAGTAACATTACACAGTAGCATTTGGATTTTTCCCCCTTCCTTCAAAGTTACTGTATTAATACTGGACAATCTAGCATTTTGCACGCAACATAAATTCTCCTCCTCTCGGCTGAAGAAAGCCTGTTCCTCGTAACAAGTTAAGACAAAAAAGCCAAAAACAAATCTAAAGATATCTGAACTGAAACTAAGGTTCATTTGTTTCACCGATAAATTCCGTATTTCTGACTGCTGTAATAGCACCAAGACCACTTCAAACTGTTAAGTCTTTTGTCCTACACTCATTAGCTGTATCTATTTAACTCCAAGCTTAAGTCATATGCAGAAGTCGTCCAAATTATATTTTGAGTTCAGTAATCTCCTATCACCAACAAAAATAAGGCTTAAATCTGCAGCAGGATCACTGCAATATGCCAGTGATCACTTTGCAACTGAAGAAGTTTTCTCGATGCATGGTTCTGTTACATTAATTCTGCACAGGCTGCACTCTCAGTGTTATTAAAATACGCATAATGCACAAGAAATTCTATTAAATCAGCCGTATCAGCATAAATCGCATTTTTCAGTAAGAAAATGAAAATACTTTAACTTACCAGTGATATATCCTCATCTGGATGGATCAACTTACTGGTTGCACTGGTTGTTGTGAGGGTAGCAGGCTTACTTGTTATAGATGTAGCTGGTTTAGCTGCAGTACTGTTTGTCGTGCTAGTGGTTGAGGCTGTAGACTGTGTGTAAGCAGGGAATGTAGGTTTTGGGGGTTCTGTTGTTGTTGCAGGTGTAGAATTCAAAGGTTTGAAATCAGTACCAACTGGACCTGGAACAGCTGCTGCAGCCTGTGAAACACAGAGATAGATCAATATTTATTTCTCAAAGCATAAAAAAACTTAAATGATGTCTGTTAGACCTCTGAAACCTTCCAGTGAGATACATAATTCAAACAAGCTTGACAAAAGTAAAGTTCAGCCTTATTGCATACTAGAGCAACTGAAAACAAGACAAAATAAAACCCAGTATATACACAGATACACACACACACACACACACTGGAAAGTCTAAAGTTTGCAGGTCAAAAGCCACAACTAGAAAAAAGGAACAACAACAACAACTCCCCACCCCACTATCAAAATTTTTATCTCAAATGCTGAGTTTGGTAAATGTCTAAATCTTTCCTGAATCACTGTTTTATTAAGAGCCTGTAAGAATAAATTCATCGTTCTCTCACTAAATTATTAGCATACTTTAGCAACCATTAGTTTAGAGTACAGCTCAAAATGTTAGTATTCATTAAAATTAGGTTTTTAAGAAATGTTTTAACTAAATATTTAAGAAAGCTCTATTGTGTCAGGGTTTTTGTTTTAAGCGTTCTCTCTATAAAAACACTGCAATATTTTCACAAAGTATTATGTCTCTCTATAGACCTTTAAACTCGCTTGTGAATGAAGAATCAGCCGAAGGCAGATATGAGGTCCACTACAGATTCCAGCATCTCATCTTTCCTACTTTTTTCTTTAATTAACTGTTAGACAAGAAAAGTGTGCTTTACCAGGCTTTCTCTGAAGATGTAGCAATCTCCAAAGCAAGCTTTAGTTATGAGAGAATGCTTTCGTTTCTAGTCTCTGTACATTTACCATTATCTGAACCTTCCAATCAAAACAAAGTATTTCAATTTTTTGCACGTAATGCAAACTACAAAATTCCCTACATTATGATGTACCATATTAAACAACATAAACTAAAAAGCCTTCACCATGCATCAAGCTAACCACTGCCCACTAAAATGCATTTAACTGCTTTCATGCTTTTTTAACCCTTTAGAACCAGGATGTAACATTTCATTCTTTCACACTAAGCAAAATTGGGCGCCTTGACATGCTTATTTCTAGTAAGATGCAACTCGCAATCAAGGACTCTGTGCAGTTTTACCAGCTAAACATAATCAGGAATATAACAGAAATTATCTGAAGATGTTTAGTCAATTTTAGATTTTACTGAACGGTCCAAAGGGTTAAGTTGCAAAGCAATTTGTTTTTAACTGTGACTTCCTGCGTACTTGTGCTGTGCTAGGAAACAGAGCGTTAGAAGATGCTGACAGACTTTCTGAATTGGAGGAAGCTGTACTTGAGCTTGTGACAGGTGTCCCCATCTGTAGCATAAAAGAAAGGAAACAGTGAAAAGTCTCCAAACAAATGGGTGGAAAGTATCCAGATGAAAGGATTTCTTATGCTAAGTCCTTTCTTATAAAAGGACTGTGTTTTTGTAAATGAGTATCTTCCCTGCAGAAGTCCAAAATGTAAATAGTACACTATGAAGGTTTCTGCAACATACTTGAAAGCAAGTAAAAAGTTCAGGACTTATACACAACAAGTGCAATCAAAGGGTGGAGGTCACAAGCCACTATCAATTCCCCAATTCCCTCCCCAAAACATCTGAACAAATTTTTACTACTTTAACTTACTCCTAAACTTTTTAGAGTAAAAAACCTCCTAATTCAGGCAACGTTTAACCAGTTTAAATACAAAATAAATAGTCCATCTATGGATAGAGAGCCCATTGTGAAAAGAACAGGAGAGAATAAGTCATGTCAAGATTTATACTTTGGAAATTTTAGGTAAAGTTCTATGCAATCAGATTCCTGCAGCTGACTAACACATCCCTTCACCCACCCAAAGCACCCTTATAAACGACAAACTAAAGGGATTAAAGAAAGAAGTGTTTTGCCTACTCCTTTCTTCCCCATGTGCTTACAGAACTTCTGTCTGGTTTCATGGCTGTTATAAGACAAACAAAAGAATCTTTTAAAATTCATTCAAGCACTACACTGAATTAAACTTAAGAATCAACACAGGCAAGAAACTTAACCAGTCACTTCTCGGGCCTCCTCAATAACAAAGAATAGACACTGTTGACACTGTGGCAATTTGAAGAATATAACAATAGATGTAACAATAACAACAGGCTATGAGATACCT